TCATATATATATATATATATATATATATATATATATATATATATATATAGACTGGATACCGAATAGGTTGGTGTATGTATTGTTTATTCAATCCCATACTTGTAAGACACTTACTGGTATATGTATGTATACCAATATAAAGATCCAGCAGATATCAGACCTTAATAGATATCAGGCGTGGTTTTTGAGCCAACAGTGCTCAGTTTCAGTTTTTTCAACCATTAACCATACACCTTCATGTGTCGGTTTTAGTTGCGCAAGGGCAATCATATCATCTTCTGAATTCAACCCTCCCCCCTGAAGATATGATAAACCGGCAATTCACATGAAAGGAGATCTATTAACCCCGGAGGATCTGGTTGTGTTTTCATTGGTCTAATGATAAAGATGAAAAATACAAATCACTCGCTATTCACCTACTCAACTGTTTAATTTATACAAAACGCACTGTTTACTGTTCAAACTACAGATCATCGTTCAGCTCATCCGTTAAAATTCTCTGGAAAGAACCTTGTCGATCGCGGATAGAGAGTAGACAACGGTTAACTGCCACTTCAGCAGTGCATGTTGACTGCCAGGAAAGCCCTAAGCTTGATTCCATGTGCATTCCATTGGTTTCACTTCTTTCCTGAGATATCTAGGTGTACGTGTTATCTGAAAAACACACAGTTATCGGTATCGGGTTAGGATTACTGTCATTGAGGTTTTGAATGAACATCCTTCGAGCTTCACATTCATGTAACTTCCTACTTTTATCAGTAAGCACTGAATTCGGGGTTTGAACTCAGGAGAACGCGCTTATCAGTAGTGCGTATCCACAGGCACATCTAGAACCTGGAGCCCGAACTCTTGGCATGAAAGCTATATGCCGGTGTTACTTTTGAGCCATTTGCATAAAGCTTGTGTTCGAAGGTGACCATATTTAGAAGGGTGTGTGTAATACTTTGTGGTCAACTCTAGACCGTACATTCCCCGATGCTCAATTCAAACTTATTATCTCTACTCGCGAAGTTGGTCTGAATGAGCGTGAACACGGCTAGCAAACTGGTTTTGCCAATAGAACACCAGGTACCAGTCCGCCTGCAGTTTCAGTTAGAACAAATCATCTGCTGTTACAACGGATGGCCGCACACATTCGAAAGTACTGGGCCAAGTCGATAACGCAACCGATAACCAATGATCAAGCAGTCAGAACAAAGTTGGGATCATCTGTTGAAAAACATGTCATGACAACCAGTCACATAGTTGTCTTTGAAACCACCATTACGTAATCGCAATGCTAAATATTTGTTCATTCGAGAGGTGCTGTTTATTCGATTGCATCAACCGACTTTATGCGTGCAAACGTTTTTGATACAATGCGTCCACGCGCCGAGGTGTTGACCTTTGACTTCTATATTTAGTAATTGTGTATTGATTAGTACCCTTTCGTTCGTCATAATAGATTACATCAATGTGCCTGTTTGTTTGATGTCAACGATTGAGGAGATCAATGGAAATGTTAACAGCTCGCGACATGTGCCTTTTTCGGTATCAATGAAACGTATAAACAGGGCCCAATATTTAAAACATGCGAAGCGTCGTTTCCGGTTACTTAATAGGTACAGGTCGACAATAAAGCCAAGAATTCAAGCTTGAGGTGACCTGTCACGTGCCCTCAATCCTACAAAGGTAATGAGTCTCTCTCTCTCTCTCTCTATATATATATATATACATATATATATGTATATACCACCACCACCAGCACCATCACTGGGGCGATAAACATTCGCCTTTGCTCCCCAGAACTATGTGCACAAAAGCAGCCGGTTAGACCAGTACTCCGTTTAACCAGGCCTGAAATTGATCACCAACGTCACTACCACCAGTATAATTTCAATCGCAATCGATTTCACTCAAACACGGTCGCTTAGCCCTTTGTTACGGGGCCCAACCCAGTGCTGCTACTGCATCCCGATGACCTTTGACCGAGCATGAAACCCTGTCTGCGATAGCACGATCCGTGTAGACAGGGCATTTTTTACTTTCTACCCTGAAGACCGAAAATGTGAGCTCTGCATCCCGTCCTGTTGCGGGGTCAAGTCGGGTAGCCCAGTACTCAACAAGTCACTATGCGGACAACTTAACAGGGATGTCGGATTGAAGCAACTCCTCCCGTGGAATAGGCAATAGTTCGACGAGACAGAGAAAACACATATCGCAAGATGTTAACATTTATTTTAATGTCTTCAGTCGCTACAACGTAAAATAATTGGGTATTTGTGTGGGAAAGTTTTGATAGCTACAGTGTTTAAATGGACCATAGTCAGGGAGGGTGGAAAGGAATTCGAGTCAGTGTCACGGTAATTTGGCTGGTTGTGTCAGAAACTTTTGTGCGCACGGAATTGGATTATGTAACTTCATTGACACGTTTTGCCGAGGGCTTAGAGAGCCTAGGATACATGTTAGGTAACAACGGCTTGAATGACAAAAGTGAGTCAATGATGTGTCCAGTGCACATGATATGTTTTAGGATTGATGACCCTGTGGGTTGGAATAGACAGTCGTCAGCTCGCGCATGGCATCGGTCACTATCGGCTAGGGGATCGTTAGACCAGTGCAGTTCATGGTACAAACAATCGTAGAGACTCCTCATTTAGCCTGGTTTAAAGTAGACGATAGCCCGATGATCTACACGCCTAATATTCCATACAGTTCTGTGGTGCTTGTTTTGCAATGAACAATGATTTGAAAACTTTAGAACAATTCATACATGATGAACTTGTTCGCCGGATTGTTTGTATTTTGCAGCCTTGAGGAAATGAGTTGGGTCAAACTAATACCTGAAAGAATGATTCTTGATTTCTATTTGAAATGGAAAAAGTTCTATTAAGTTTTTTGTCTCGTTTTGTGTTTACTTGATTTCACATTTAACTCACAGTTATTTGTGAATACTTTTGTGAGGCAGGTGATGTTGATTTGAACTGAACAGGACTAACATACATAGAAGCACACAAAACATCCATGCACTAAGTCCAGAGTACAAATCCTATAGGCACTACTGATGAGCTCTAATGAGAGCGAAATTTATGCCTAGAGTTTCCTGATTGTGTAGTTCACTGAAGAGTTGTGCATGAAGGTGAAGTCTGAGGGATAATCTATCAAACTAAATATACCTGATTTCTGAACTTGGTATTTCACATTTTCCGAGTATATCTCACATCCTTGATGGGAAAATTTTCCCATTCTGACAGTCGTATGTGCTAGTTGTTCTCATTATCCTCATAAGTATTATTTTAGCAGTGCTCAGGATATGAAAAACAAACTTTTACGACTGACGGATAGAATTCGATGCGAACAGTAGCACTGGTCTGAACTGATTCTCTGCGATCAATTCTCACGGACACTAAACAATACCCATCTTTTGCTTAAAGGCAAATTGCCATGAACAATGGACTGTTTAGTTTTCACTTCAGTTAAAATTCTTAGTCAATATTCTTACGTATGAGGTGATTAAACCGCAACCGGACTAGACAGATTGACTTTCCTGGTAGTTAGAAAGGGATGAAGAAGTCACGAATGATCACCAATTGTTTGTGCACTTGTGATTTATTTTCAACGACTCCAAAAAGGACTTTGTTTCTTTTTAAATATTTCACATCTAGCTAGTGGGAGAGATGGATCGATCTCACAATTGTTTTCAGCCGCCAGACTGAAACCGACATGGACATAAGCAACCAGGTATTGAGGTACGAGTTTCAAATTGCATGTGTAATTTCAATGGCTATCCCACCCAGTGTTCTGACAAGCTTTTGTGTAATTCTTTGAAATGAAGCCCAGTGGCTGACAATTTCTCTACTTACGACTAATTCTTCTGNATCCTTCCGATATCGCGTGACTTTCATCGGAATAAACACTCGGCAGACATTGCCATCAACATTATCGTAGAGTGAAATATAGCAAAACGATCTTCACCGGTCAAGCTCAGAATGTACAATGATTAAGTGGGAATGCTCAAGGTGCTCACGAATGAGGCCCAGTTAAAGGAAGGCGAAGAAGGTGAGCCTCTATTGTCAACTCACGGAG